CCTTGCTCCCGAGATGGAACAGCCTGGCCTTGGGCCTGCACCCAGGGGACGAGGGACCCCACGGTGCAGCAGTTTTGGGACGACTGTCTGCCCACGGGGGGACTCACGATGCAGCAGATGTGTGTGGACTGCTGCTCGTGAGAGTGGAACCACCCTGGAGAGGTTCACCGAGAACTGTCTCCCATGGGAGGGACCCCACGGCAACGCAAGGGAAGGACTACTCTCCCTCAGCAGCCGCAGATAATCCGGTGTTGAACTGACCAACCCCACACCCTGAACCGACCAACCCCACACCCCGAACTGACCAACCCCACACCCTGAACTGACCAAGCCTGAACTGACCAACCCCACACCCTGAACTGACCAACCCCACACTCTGAACTGACCAACCCCACATCCTGTTCATCCGCTGCTGCTTTGCACTGTCGGTGGGAAGCGGGGAGGGAGTAGGGAGAAGATCCGTGTCTTTGAGGGTTGTATTTCATTCCTCATTCTCCTCCTCTGACTTTGTTAGTAATAAATTCACTTCTTAACTTAAGTGGAGCCTGTTTTGTCCATCAAACATTTCCTCCCTGTTCCTTATCTCAACTCATGAACAATTTTGTTAATTTTTTTCTTTCGTTCTTYTCTGCCCAGTGGTGGTGGGGAGRAGCGAGTGAGGAGGTATTGTGGGTGCCTGGCTTTTGGCCAGCATTCTAAAGCATGGCAGCTGGGATCTCTGAAGCTACTTGCATTGTTTTGCACCTACCTGCTGTGTACACAGAGTYCGAATCAGCAGGACACTTGAAACAACAGACAGTRTAAAAGGCAAAACTATACCTGTTTTGCAGAGATAAATCAATAAAGTCAAACTGTCTTTCCTTGTGGTTCTCATTGCTGAAGAGTTTGTCATGGGTAGAGGAGCAGTGAAGCTGTTATGCACATAGCTGTCATCCCAGGCAAAGGGAATAGCAGTTATGAAACAGTAGAGCCATCATCCAGGGCACCAGCCTGGCAATTCTTTGCTTCAGCCAAATGAGAAAGACTGTAAAACTGGTAACCTTGATACAATAGAAGCCACTAAGCCAGGCACCAAAMCAGARGCTGGGGTAGTTCAGAAACTAAAATTACCTTGGAAACTACAAACGCACTTTCTGTATAATAGGTGTTAAGAGATCACAATCATATCATATGGAGACCATATTTTGCTCCTAATGCAGCTAGAGAGCCMAGATAAKTCCATTTCCTAGAAGTCCTGCCATGGATACAATTATAGCAACTGATAGACAAAGGAGAGCAAAATATGTGGCCATTGWAACCCAARATATCACMGTTTTTACTCAGCTKCTTTTGGACTCCTGAAAGCCTCAGATCTGTCAGGCACTGCCAATCCCAATGTGYTGTTATGGGCACATGCACACCTATTTATGTCAGAGGCAGAAGTATCATAATRTAATTTAATCTTTATGCTATTTTAAGTTTTTTTTTCCCAGGATTGATAGAACAGCTGATTTGTCTAAGCATGCAAATTGGATAAAGATTAAATTATGGTGTTTTCAGTTTGGTGAAAGAATTTGCCTTGGAAATGCTATGGAGCAGCTAAAGTGGGGTTTTTGCACCAGCTGGAGTGGGGCTTGATGTCCTGCTTTAAATGTCTAGATTTGCTTTTTATACCTAATGCCTTAGATGTTCTCTGTCTTGCACGGTTATCACTTCAGAGTTTATGAAAGTAGTTACTGTGGCCTCTTCTAATACTGGATTAGCTCCTTTTCTTTATCAGGAATATTCAAATGRCTGCTGCRTGGAGGATTGTCCCAATATTTTTTRATRTGTGGAGARTTTTAAGTATTATAAYTTTCATTGTACTCTTTCTTGGAGTGTCCCAAAAGAGAAGAATAAATCTGCAGGAAGATAAGTATAGAGAAAAGGAAAATCATTTTACCAAAGTACTTCGCTGGTCTATTTTTCACAAGCCTCCTGAAAAATTGCAGAATTTGCCTAAGGAGTTTAAGACCTGGTAATATACAGCATTACATAGGGGAGTAATAATATAAATGTAAATCTAATTGGTCTTGCTCCCATATGGAACATGTATACTTTTAAAATTCTGCTATACTTGCTAAAAGAAGTGAATCCAAACACTTTCTACACTCAAAAAAGAAACAGGTGAGCGGAGACACTTGGGTTTAGGAAAAAGGTTTTGGATTCATGTTTTATCAGTAGGATACAACACAGAGGGAAACACACAAAGGCCCTTAAGAAATGCAGTGACAYAAGTAGCTGTCAGTAGTACAGTAAGAAGCTGTGGGCAGTGATCAAGGGAGAAGTTTGAGACTTTTCAAGGCTGTTTCTTTGTGTAGTTTGAATTCCCCAATGTAATCTATGTTTGCCTAGGGCAGTGATCAAACCTTTTTGATCATACACCCGTAGGAATAAAAMTTTGTGAGCATTCACCTCAGATATAGTTACAACTTCCTGTAGACCAGGCTGTTCAAAGCCCCATTCAGCGCCGACCTTGAGCCCATTGCCATGAGAWAATCAGCAAATGYCAGTGTGATATAGTGYGGGGTTTATGGGCAAGGTTTTGTTAGAGGGGAGGCAGCAGAGGTTTTTGTATGAGAAGGGACCAGGAGTTGCCCTTGTGTGGTGCAGAACCAGTTCCTGTTACCCCAAAAGGGACCCACTGCTGGCCAAGTCTCAGCCCATCAGYAATGCTGGTGCCATTTCTGTGACAACTCATTTAAGGAAGGGTAAAAAACATGTGGCTTACTAGTGTTGGTGTGCGTGGAAATAGGTCAGATGTTTTGGACGGATCTGAGTCCATGATGTTCAGGTTTCAAACTGGTTGGTTTATGATGGTGGGGGGAATCATACCAACTYCCAGCTTATAAACCGAGAGAAAAGAGAAAAATGTATGCTCTGGGGCAAGATATATGCTATCACAGGATCATAACTCGTGTAAATCTCATTTTCCTACTAGTTCAGAGACTGTTACTTTTCTTCTCCAGAACAAGTCTTTATCAAACTTGTCTCATAATTTATCCAGTAGAACAAAGGCATTTAATAGACTGTGTAAAAAGTGCATGTTGAAGGTATTTTTATTCACATGACAATACTTAGCTAGTCTGTTACAGGCTGACAGATTGGCCAGAAGACTGATCCTATAAGGTGCCTTCCAAAATTAAGTGAGCCTATGTATTTTGCCTGTTGGTGTGGTCAGAGAGGTCTGAGGTTTCTTCCTGAAGGCCAGTGAGGGGACAGCAGGGAACAGCAGAGGATGGAGCAGCCCTCCCAACATGGGTGTGTCACAGTCCTGAGCTGGGAACCAGCTTTTGTGGTGCTGACAATGCCTTGTCAGGGTGTCATTGTCATGTGCTGAATTTTCAGCAGCTCTGTTAAATGGCATAAAAAATATTCATGCAAGCCACTGCTTCAAGTCACCTGTGAAACAGTTTCTGTCACAAGGGGAAGGAAGAGTCCAACACAAATTATCCTTTGACTTGGTATTTTTAAAATTTGAAACAAAACAGTTCTGGCACAGACTCAGATCAAATACAGGTACATTGCTTTAAGCAGATTGACAACATCCAAACTGGATACATTACATCAGGATGGGTTTAGTGAACACTGGGTTCAAGTCATGTCTGCTTCAGCRACAGTCACTTTAAAAGTAAACAGACTCCCACTGAAGCTGGAGAGAAGCGGTAGTCATGTAACAATAATGCCCTGACACCAACCATTACTTCAGCAAGAACAGGAAGCTTGAAATGCTTTGTCATTCTTTCATGAATCATACTGGAATGTTTTAGATGCCTTTAGAGTCAAGAAATATTTTTCTAGAGTTCAACTCTAATAGAAAATTATCAGTAAATTATTCCCATATTATTGGGACATCCTCATTATGATCTTGTTCTAATCAGAAACAGCCTTCAATTTTCATATTCACAAATATAATGTGACCATGCCTATGTTTAAACAGGTCTGATCTGTTTGAATAATGAATTGTAACTTAACGCATTAACAAGTGAYTGCATTCATGTCTGAGTGTTGGCCTTGTTTTTTCAGCTGTCTCAAAGAAACAGTGGTGATTTACAARGAAATTACAGCAAATAGGAGAAACTTACACAATTCTTCAAAACAAGACTCACATCCAATAAAGCAATTTTCCACTTTCTTCATGATCCAGATCAGGGCCATAATCTATTCATTCCAGTAT